TATATGATACAGTTACCATTAAAGTCATGACTGTTCATCACTGTCACATGTACCAGGGTTTGAACAAAACATAGAAATAACAATAATAGAGTACAGCTTTTCTTTGCAATACCTTATTTATAGCTTTCATCAGCGTATTCATATTTTTATTAAAGATGAAACAAATTATTTATGACAACTTTTATAAATCTTAAACTCAGTATTTCAAGACACCTCATGTTGTTGCTCATTAAAAAACTGTGATTGTAAAGTGACTGTAAATGCACTGATCTGCTGTTAGTTCAAAGGACAGCAAATCACAGAACTATTATTTTCAACTTATTGACCTTAAATCACGATGCCTGCAAAGGTGCAGTGGTTAGCATTCTGACCTTGTCAGTAAAAGGTTGATGGTTCAATTCCAGCTGAAAACACAAATCCCCTTTGAGGTTGTGTCAGGAAAGTCATCCAGAGTTAAACTAAAATCAAACATGCAGAACTAACTGCTGTAGCAAAGCAGCATTAAAACTGAATAATAGTAATACACACTCAGACCAACACTGAGGAAAATAAACACATAATTCCTACAGATGTCATTTTTCTTCTTCAGGACCATCTTTACTTATTATTGCATAAAAGAGACCTGCAGTATAAAATTATACTTAAAAAATTTAAATAGTTTTTTATGTTTTTTTTCAGTGTTTATATTTATGTCTTTATATTATTGTTATGTTATAATTATTGTTAATATTATTATAATTGTTGTTGTTGTTGTTATTAACGAATTAATTATTTTATTTTTTCATTTTTATTCTGTTCTTAATGTTAAGCACTTTGGTCGGGACTTGCTGTATTAAAGCACTTTATAAATAAAGTTAGTTTGGCTAAAACGTTTTTTTTCTCACAGAAAATAGTAATTCTCTTTTTTTCCTGTGACATAAAAGTAAAAATTTGGTTCTTTCGTGTTGTTTGTTGTATTTTGTGTATGTTTCAGTCACAAGTTGTAAATGGACTGATTCTTATATAGCACTTTTGTACTCTCCCGGAGTACTCAAAGCGCTCTATACAACAAGCCACATTCACCCAATTCTCACAAGCACTTTATCTGTACTTAGTGCTTTTCTAACTACAGTCACACACATTCATACTCCGATGGATGCATCAGAGAGCAACTTGGGGTTAGTATCTTGCCCAAGGATACTTGGCATGCAGAC